TCTGATCCGACAATCAGCCTTTACTGTAATTTAATAGACTAATAAAATTTCGTTCGACCCGTTAGGTTAAATAGAAAAATTGACAAATCATTGACATATCCACACAAACATGGCGTCTTGGGTATGATGTTTTTATGACGGTACTATCTTTGTATCACCTAGTGAGAGGATTATTCTGTAGCATAAGTTCCTTGAATCCAGTTTACTCGAAACTTCGGATTACCCAAACTAACGTTCAAACCTAGTTGTCCAACAGCCCCCATGGTACCCTAACTATGGTGAACCACGATTTAGCTTCAAAGCTACTCAGCAGTATTGCAACATATAATAGCAATAATTAAACATACGTTATATATCACAATTTTTAGGAAATTAAATTTGTGAAATATTTTATAAAATATCAGACAGTGAAAATCAATGTTGTCAAAAGTAACAATACTTAACAATGAAAAACCAAGTATTTGGTAATGTTAATACCCAATTTGTGATACTAATACACTCCAAATCAACTAATAAAGATTTGAATAAAATTTAGTAACAAAATGTTATTAAAATCGTTTACAGAGATCTGCAGTTACTCAATCCTCAGTGCTGGCAGGTCAATTCTTCTTTCATAGAAACGACCCAAAGCCGTGGTTCGCCACAGAATAGGGTTAGAATTTTTCCCTTCTTCTGCCAGTGACCGAACAAAGGACCATTTTAATCCCGAGTAAATTGCGTTACGCAGACGGGATTGGACGCTTGGATCTTGCGAGGAACCGTTTCAACGTCTAGCAGAATGAACTGGAAGGACGTGTACCGGGACGGAAGCGACCTCAGACGTCTCATGTGCGGTGGATTTCGTCGCGATGCAAAATCCGAGTGCTCGGCCTTGATGGCATTCGTAAGGAAAAGGAAGCGTGCATTTTCAAGTGGTACTCACTTGCGGCTCTGATCTTCCTCCAGCTGGTGCCAACTCGAGCCTCTCCGACACCGCCTGCAATGCAGAAAACACGGTGAAATTCAGCTCGTGTAAAAGTGTACGCAGCCGACAACAATTTATAGCCTCGCTGTTCCCGAGGAATTTTCACGTGTCTCATTCATACAAATTTTTCTTTCCTTTTTCAGCTCTTTTTTCGGCGTCGACACTGGTTAAGCCTTTGCAACGTCGTGTGACTTGTTGGACGTTGCATGTACATATGTATGTAAATTTTATGGCTGCTTTTAATCGGTTGTTGATGTAATATTGGAAACGTATATTTTGGTATGTATTGGTATATACATATGAGATATCTCAGATGTTTATGACAATTGTTGGTTCTCAGATACGAGATCAGAGGGGAAGGTGGCTACTCTGTTTTGGACAAATAAGGATTGGAGATATGCAAGATTGAAGAGGAAATATACTGTGATGACAATTTTTATTTCAGTAAAATTCTCTCACGTGATTCTTGATCAATGATATTATTATAAATAATAATTTAATATTATTAAATATAATAACTTGGAATATTGTTACAGATAATATATATAAATTATCAGTTTTCCTGTTAACACTACATCCCCCATGGTCAAATAACCGGTGAATGGAAAAGAAGCTGAAGTTTCAAAAAATGGAATAATGGGAGACATTCGGAAAATTATTATACGTATATTGGAAGAAAAATCACGAAGAGTGATTAAGGTGAAATCGTTGAACGCGAAATTTTTAATAAAAGTTTGGAAAACAAAGAGTTAGATTATGGTAGGGTGCTTGTTAAAAGAGACATACATAATACATTTTTATGAATCTTTGTTTTATCTAGAATTAATAATAGGTATAGTCATATCAATTAGGTGTTAAAATAGCTCACTGCATTTTGTTAAAAATTTCGTTATAAATGAAATAAATCAAAGAGGCAGAATTTGAGAAATACAGATGTATATATTATTACAGAGAATAATTAGGATAAAGTAACTCGTGACAAGCTCGATAATTCTGTTGGATTATGTAAATAAATAAACAGAAGCGGCATCGTATTACGAAGAATTAATTAAAGCAGAGTAACACGTGACAACTAGTTTCATATTGCAGTTGAATTAATTACTAAAGCCTACGGTTCAGACGTGTAAATTAAATTATCCAAAATTTTCCTGAATTTAATTAAAGTTGCCAGACAACGATAAGAAGTAGAGGTAAAAATATTAACATAATTTAAAATTAGTCAATCTTAATTTGAAAACAATTGAAATACTGAGTACAACCATAACATAGAAAAGTATTGAAACAATACAAAAATTGCTCCGTGACTGTTTAAATTTTCTAAATTAATCTTATATCTTTCTAGATTTCTTACTGATAACAATCATATAGGAATTTTTTTGCTAGATGCAGGAGTGAAACTACCAAATTTAAATAGATGTCTGAAAAATGAAAAAAATGTAAATCTAGTCATTTGCAATTACACTATAGAAGAGATTTAAAAAATTACATCTAGAACACCTGGATCTTAAAACATAAATGTCTGCACATTTATTTTCATAAATTATTTTATAAATGGCTCATACCAAGCTACTCAGGAGCAAATATTTAAGAAGTTAAAAATTGAAATCAGTTATAACTTTTTAAATTTGCATTTTAAATATTAATATTTTATTATTTTTATATTTTTTTAAATAATATTTTATTATAAATACTTTATAGAATAAGGCTCTTTCTGAACAGACATGATCTAGGCTTCTGGCATAGTGACAATTGTCCTTTAGATAGAGGATTGTGTAAAATATATTTTTCGTTATCCATATAACAATTGGACAAAGAAACAGATGACTATTTTACCAGACTCTGTGGAGCAGAAATATTCATTTCCTGGTTACAGTTCGTCACTGACAGATCATGCGGAACCCATCCTTTAAACGTCGATACCTTTCCCATTTATATGAAACGTGTCGACAGTACCAATACCACAATGTAGTAATATAATCTTCCTTTTTTTCTTTTTTAACAGGAAAAAATCAATCTAAATATATGTATAATCATCACATACCTATTTTAAATTAGAGAAGAAATATATTTTAAAGGAAAAAAAAATGGGGGCAAATGTACTTGAAGAAAATTAGAATTTACTGGTAATAAAGCAATGAAATTGTTAATGTGTGCCATTATAATTTTTTTGTTTCATTCATATATAATTTCTTTCTTCTATGAATATATATAAATTTATGTTGTTCCATTAAAACTCTTTTTATTTTGTCAATAATTCTATCTTGCCAAACTAAAATTTGATAAAACTTATCTACTTCATGAATACGTAATTTTATTCTCTCCTATTAAAATTGGTTAGAACTTATTTCAAAATTTATGTATAATGTTATTTAGTTTTATTAAAATAAAGTTTTATGCGTAGTAAATTAGTATCAAATTAGAAAGAAATAATAATAATGCACAATTACAAACAGAATTTATCTCAATGAAATATATGTATAAACTCAAATACTCTTTTTATACTTATTTTCTATTAGATCTCGTGCAAATTAGAATTAGAAACTATACTCATGCCATAATTTTTTAAAAAGTATAATACAGATATAACTAGAAAATTCTATATATAGAATATTTCAACAAATACATCCAGAGTTCTAGTGTCAACTCCATAAATTTTGTTCATTTTATATAATCTAATTATAGATAAAAATAATTGTACTATATCATACATAATTTTATTTAACTAATGCTGTATTTTTAGTCCAACTTACTTGATCTAAAATTTCATTCCATTCCCTTGAAAATATTATATTGAAATGAAGTCAATATATACCCATATAATCACATTTATTATCCAAAGTATATGTTCAGTTGACATGGAAAAAGCACATTAAAGTATCTACGTTCCCTATAACTAAACATACGCAGGTAAACTTCAACAGAGATATGCTCATACATATTTAAATTCAAATTCATAAACTTCATGTGTATGTGAGAAGAAAAGAGAAGAATAGAATGGAAACTCTCCCTAAATTTATTTGAGATGTACATAAAAGCAATAGTAGTTGTGTTACATGATAGTATGTACATATTCATTACAAACTAATAAGCTAAGAGTAGAGTGGAAACACGTCAGTGTTAAATAGTCAAATATATTTTCAGGGAAATTAATTTCAGGTGTTGCACAGAAATTTTGTTCACTTGAGTTGGCTGCATTCGCATTGCTGGCTTTTGTTAGCCACATTGTCAGACTTGTATTTTCTACTGAAGCATTCAGTTTCACATCTACACTTTCACTAAGTGTAAATAGAATAAGTATACGTTAAATAATCCAACATGTATGAATACTTTTTCCATTCAAATTAGCGAGCATGGGTACTAATTTCACGCTTTCTCTTTAACATGCTAAATATTGAGCTACTTGGAAGAGAAGTGTGAAAATAAGTAAAAAGAAAAATTATTGGTCATTGAAACATGTTTGTGTATTGTACTGTCCTTCTTTTTTTCTTTTGGTCCTTTTTTATTTCTCATTATGGATATTTAAAAGTTATAAATGCTCTATGTCTATATTTTTCATAATGTTTGATAAAAAGATTTATAGTTTTGTAAGCTTTCTAATGGATAGTTATAGTAAAAAAAGCTTTGTAAAAAGATTTACAAAAATGGTTTTAATATATAATGGAAAATTACTTCTCTATATGTGCTGATAAGTATTTGAATTGTTAATGTGAATCCAAGATGCAATTTAAAGAAAAAGCAGAGGATGAACTTGTTTTATTCATGATTCCATTTTCAAGAATAGCAATTTTGAAAAAACGATTAAATTCACATTCATTCCATTGATCTTTGCATTTTTTACATTTCCATAACTTTCATCTACGGATTCTATATTTCAAAAAATATTAAAAATTTTAACAAAATGGAACATACACAAATCATTGGATATTTCAAAACTCACATTCACTAAAAATAAATTATTGGATGTTTGCAAATATTAAAAGCAGTTACTGTTAAAAATTGACAAATCTATTTCCTCGGCAATAAAATAAAAAAGAATTTAATATAAAACTTGCTGATATTCTTCTTCTAAAAAAAAAAAAATCAGTAAACCAATAAAATATCTAAAATTTCATCTCGTCTAATCTACTTCTACAAGCAGGAAATCCAAACACAAATACCTCACCAAAAATCCTGAACCTATTTTCGATCAATTTCTATCTGCTAATTCCATTTCCTCCGATAAAAAAAAGAAATAAAAAAAGAAAAAAAAAGAAAAAATCTTCATCCTGAATGATTTACTCCTGCATCAGGAGTCACTCTATATCCGGTTGAGCCATCAATTGCAGTCACGATCTGCATAGTCATATACCATGGTCTCGCGTTAAAATTCCATTTTTCATCGATTTACAAAGCCTTGTCAACTCTGTTAAACCCAAACAAGCTGGGAGAGTAAAATGAAAACTGAAACACTGTCTATCCAGATTACTTATCACAGAGCAATTCCGATGCTAATACGTACCGAGACATCTGTACGGCTTGACCCAACGCGACAATTTGCATTTAGTTCTTCCTGGCTTGCACCATCCGCTAACCCTCACGTAGTGCGATGACTCTACGATGTTGGTGATGTCTCTTTTTGGGTAAGCCTGAAAAATGTAATTGTTATAAAATAATTATAATTTATAATATTATAAAAAATATATTTGAAATTCTGTGATATGATACAAATTTTAAGAAAATAATTATAATTTTACATAGTTATATTATTATAGAGATAATTATAATCCAATAGATTTATAAAATTGTAAAAGTTATAATAAAATAATTGAAATTTCGTGACATGATATAAGTTATAATGAAATAATTATAATTTTATATAGTTATAACATTATGTAAGTTATAACAATTTTATCTACTTGTAAAATTATGGAAATTATAATAAAATAATTCTAATTTTATTTAGTTTGAAAAATAAAAAATTTATAATAGAATAATTATAATTTTATACATTTTGAAAATTATATATCTTATAATAAAATGGTTATTTAAAATTACGGAATAGTCAAAATATAATAATTATATAAAATTGCAAATAAATGATTATTAAATACTAAAATTATGTAAAATAATTTTATATTGCTTTGAACGTACACTATCGACCAAAAGTTTGGAATTACTAAGCACTCTATAGGACCCAAAAATTAAATGAACAAAATGGGAGATGGATTAAGAATTTTATTTCAGAAAAGTTTTTGATTAGATTGTTTTTGACATGTATATAGTACTGATTTGAAATTAATGCCAGAATTAGCAGCACAAAAGATTTTCTTCTTTTTCATCAGTAGGTCGAAATGTTAAATTATTCATAGCAGGAGATAGGAGACAAAAGCGTAACCTAATTAAACGACAGTGTGATATCTAGACTTTGAAATGGTAAATATATCGTCTAGTAAACTGGATTTAAAATCTGTTGCATATGAAACTACATCTCAGTGGTTCTCAACTTTTTAAATGAATTAACCAACTTGTTATTCCCTATTCGTACATTTATATACAATTTTTATACACAAATTTTTAACACTTCCGTATTTTTCCACTTTTTTAATAATATATATTAAAAAGTTTTTCCACTTTCTTAATAATATATATTAAATAAATTAATATACTGTAAATTATTAATATTATTAAATACGAAAAATATAAAATATTAATGTTATATATAATAAATATTAAATATCAATAATAATTAAAATAAAATAATTCAAAAACCGGTTATTGCAGACTTCTGTCATTCGTATAATGACAAAAATGATAAAATTTGCTTTGGAATATCAAACTTGAGAAAATTCATGACGTGAATTTACTGAATTCGTGAAATTCTATTAAAAATAGATTTTTTACAATTTAATTCTAATTTTATATTCAACTGATTTAATATTCAACACGATGGATTCATATCATCAGATATCCACTGGAACGAAGCCCGAGTTACTTTGGTTTATTCATAGAAGATTATAAATAATATTATATACGTGATGAATATCTTCGTGATGAAATTTTTCAGATAAAGATTATTGCAATAGAAATGACCGTAGCAGTCATTCACAGTTTAGAGATCAAGGATAAATGTTAGACCAGTGTCTCTCAACCTAAATGAAAATCGTTTGCTTTACATATTTTTAAATTAAAAATTAAAAGAAATAAAATTGTAATATTTCTTAGAAATCAAAATACATATGAATACAAGATTCATTTGTATATTTTTAAATATATATAATTTTTTTAATAAAAATAATAATATAATTTTTCATACATCATAGACTTATATTATATACAATGCCTACAGTTTACCAAATTTTTAAAGAATTTTATATTATTTTATATTGTAATACATTATTATACTATTTTGTCATTTTATTAAACACAATTATTATATATTTTTATTATATATTGATACAAAAATGTTTTATATTTTAAGCCTGCAATCACCATATATTACATAAATAAATAAGATTATATAATACAGTCATATATTGTTACAAACAAATATATTGAGGAATACGATAAAGAGGAAAATAATAATTTATTTTAAGAATTCGTGATTTTCATTGATTTAAAATCGAAACTACTGTAAAAGTTGAATTGAATTTACAACTGCGAAGCTCGAATTTTCAAAAGAATTAATAATACAAAATTAATTATGTACTTAGGAATGATTGAAGTTATTTGTCTCTATTTAAACAACTTGAAACAACTTGAATGCAAGGAAACTATTTAAATATTTAAATGAAATTGCTCGAGCAGATGGAATTTTTGCAAGCTTGCTCGAATAATCAGGCTACCCGAAGCGTTACGTGGATAATTAAATACTTGGTTGGGGCGAGAAGACTACCCTTACGAGGTTTCAATTTCAAATACATGAATATTTTAAATAGAATAGGAAGATATAAATTAGGTTATTCTTTTCAGTCGCTGATTTGTACCAAAAATTTTATAGCTTTGAATCGTTAATTTATATCAATTAATTCATATTTTTAATCGATACATTATAATTTTTAATTGTTGCTTTATGTCAATCAAATTACATACCTCGTTATTACTTTGTAACAATTATTTTCTAATTTTTATTCCATTATTTATATAAATTATTTTGTATTTTTTGGTTAGTACTTTGTAACAATTATTTTTTAATTTTTATTCCATTCTTTATATCAATTATTTTATCATTTTTATTTATACTAATTTTTTTATTTTATACTAATTATTTTATATAATTACTAATTGTTGCTACTTTGTACCAAATAATTCTTGATTGTTACTTGATATAAAATTTTAATAAACTTATTTTTTACTTTGAATTATATATTTTTGTATGTTTGCATTTTTGTAGCACTACAATTTTATTATTAATTTCTATGAATTAAAATTTTCACAAATCTGTAAATAATTGTACATGAAGTGTTTAATCTAATATTAAAGGTTACTGTATATTTAAGTGATATATGATACATTTTATCAGAGAGGTTTGATTAACAAGATATTGAATTTCAGAATTACCGTGTTCTTGCTCCTGAGGTATTCATTTCATTCGATATACTTATTTTTCACAAAAAATTAAAAAATATTTCCATTTCATTCCAAAATTAAAAAATATTTTCAAAAAAATTAAATAAATTTTTGATATTTTTCACATGAATTTTCACAAATTATTAGATTTCCAAAAGTAATAATTACGTTGCAAAATGCACATATTTTCACTTTATTGTTCTACTTGGCTTATCTCATAAATATTCTATCAGTACATCCAATTTCTTTTACGAGTTTAATACTAACAGTACCCACAAACGCTACAAATATCAAAATTAAACTCACCGTATCGTATTCCGCCATTTTAATTACATTTCATGTAAAACGAATTATAAATTTCAATTTGAAAACTACTAGGGAAAACATGACGTTTCCCTACTTCTTTTTTAAAGAGAAACAATTTTTAAATTTATTGCGCTGTAAACGAATCCTACATTAGATACAAAGATACATTTTATTTATGCAGTATATTAACATACATTCTCTTTATAATCACTTGAAATCATTATTATAAAACCACTTGATAAATCGATGTTAATACGAAGTCACTATGCATGACATTTTAAATAAAACGCGGGAACTACATAACCTTTGATTATTCATTATTTAAGTTTCCGTACTATATCTCGTAGTTCAATAAAAAGTATATAATTGGTTATGAAAAGAATTACAAAATTATTGGAAATTATTCTACGTAATAATTTTTAACAGTAATAATTGTTAGAAAAATTATGCGCGAAACTAATAAAATCAAAGTTTTGTCAAGATGGCCGCTAATGGACTCTAGATAGGGTGAAATTCAACATAATATACAAGTATTAATAAGGATATGAGCAACATGTTTTGTACTGCTCAAAATATACTGAATGAATATTAAAATTTTATTTAATAAGGATTTATATTTAATGAAACTTTATTTCATAAAAATTTATATTTAATAAAACTTTATTTAACAGAATTATAGACACTGCAAATAATATTTAATCTAAAATTTTATCATTTTATTTATATTAACCTAGTATTTAATTTAAAACTTTATTTAATAAAACTGTAAATATAAGCAGTTTTATTAAAAAAATGTTATCATTTCATCTAAAATAACTTGATATCCAATCTGAAACTTTATTTAATAATACTATGAACACTGAAAGTTTTACTAAGAAATTTACTACTTTTCCTACAACAATATTGAATATTTAAGCTAGAACTTTGTTTAATAAAATGGTAGGCATTAAAAGTTTTAGATTTTGGCAATTCCTTCCGCAACAACTTAATATTTAAACTAAAACTTTAGTTAATAACACTATAGATATGGAAAACTTTTCCAAAAATTTTACCTATTTCATCTGCATTAATTTAATATTAATCTAAAAACGTTATTTCATTATTTTGGAACTCCGAACATTAAAAATTCAGTCATATTACTTATAACAACCTAATATTTAACTCTCTGTCACAATCTAACCTCAAAATACCATACATATTCCAAACCTTAAGTCGATAGTGTACATATCTACATAACAAAAATTTCAATCACATGAAACGCTATATACAATCAATTAAAATTCAAGGAACCAGTTAAAGTACAAAAGCAAACGGTAATATGACTTAAAGAAAAATTATAGAAATACCAATGGAATTCCATATACCAGACAAGTTAACGGGAATGAAACTTATTCTAAAGGATCAGAATCACGGATACAAATCTAATCATTTATCACGATAAATCTCATGACACGGGTTTAAGCAGAGAATGTTGCAGAGGCTTACCTTCTTACAGTATTCGAGAATATCCATCTTGTCCGTCATGCAGCTCTTCCTGTCGGCCGATGAGACCCAGCGGCCTTGTTCCCCCATATGCTGCGCCAAGTACACTGCGCCGGTCTCGCACAATGTGGCAACCTTTGCAAAGCGTTCGCATAAAGAGTCGTCGTCTTTTGTTACCCGCTCACTTAGCCCGGGAGAAATGAAATTCCACGGTGACGAGCTCGAAACGTAATAAATCGTCAAAAGTTCGTCGCCGCTCGTTTCCACGTATAGTCTGAATGCGAATCCCGGGGTGGAACAATGTCTTTTTTATCACTCGAGCAAACGAGGGAGATACTAGTTGCACCAACTACCAGCATGAAATTCTCCAACGTTGTTCCGCTTTACTCTGTTTGCTCGAGCGAGTTGTAACGTGGATGGGAGCAAGGCCAGATTTAGGATGTATGATTCTTTGTTTAAGCGATTGATAAACCAATTCTGGTTATTGTATGGTGTTGATATGATGAAAGATAAGAAAAAAGATAGATAGTTTCTGTTTTTGTGATTTTAGGTTGTGCAGTATCTTATTCCTAGTAATTGAGGTTATGGAATGATTAAATTATAAAGGGATAGAAGTGTCATATAAGAAGACAATAACTATTAATTGAGAAGAAAAAATATACAGTCAGAAAATGTATTGTCTTTCTAGTTCCACTGTTTTTGATTATATGAGTTTCTACTATGCCAAGAGTATTAAACAAATGAAGTATTCGAATAATAATGGGCACTTCTTATGTAGATATATAAAAGTAATATAAAATAATTATCTTTTTCCTTATTTACTTTTTGATATGTAATTGATGTCCATGTTTCATGTTATGAACATTACAGGTAAATTTATTGAATCTTAGTTTTTCACAGATAGTGTGAAGTATGAAAAATCAACTTTCTCAACAAAACTTTTTCATAATATATATTCCTTTTGGCCATTTTTTGTATTATTTGATATATTTGTGTTGTAAAAACCAGAGTTAACTAGTTAAAACCAGTTTTATCAAGCTTTATGTTGATATTAGTTCTAACTAATGACTTATAAAATCAATCAAGTATATTTTATGGTACCAATATTTCCTGGAATTTTTTAATTATTACTTGTACTGATTAATTAAAATCAGTATTGAAAAAGTCAAAATCCCCCTATAAATAAATCTAGTTGTAACTAGAAAAAAGTAATAATAATTTTGATTGCCATCAAAAGCAATATCCAATATAACTAGACAAAACTAGTTACTCTAAGTATTCAGAAATATTAAAAGTTATAGATTAATCACTTAGACAAATGTTTTTTAACCAAAGTGCCTAACTTTAGCATTAAAGTTAAAATTGGATATGTCTAATTTTATCTGACTAATTTATACTATAATTTACATCAAATAGTTTCTGAGTAATAATCAGTTCCATTATGTTAAATAACATTAAACATTTTTATTCATCATTACAAGACATATTGCTATAATATTTAAGATTACCCAGTCTTTATTCACTCTTTATAGCAATAGTTTCAGTTATACTAATTTTAAACTAGTCACGTCTAGTGAAAACTGCCAAAACAATTTACTACTCAACTTTCCAAGTCACTTTCACTTTCCACTGATGGTCCATCGTTATTTCTAGAATTAACTGACTAAAACTAGTATGATTAACTAGTTAGATCAGATATTGATAGATTTTGAGATTCAAATATAACATATATATCTCTTAAATGCTAGATCCACCGCAATTCAAACATATACAGTGGTTTTCTTGTTAAGGAACTCAAAGTCAGTTACAAAAACATTACCATGAGGACTTTATATTTGAATATATGTATATCTGATCCGACAATCAGCCTTTACTGTAATTTAATAGACTAATAAAATTTCGTTCGACCCGTTAGGTTAAATAGAAAAATTGACAAATCATTGACATATCCACACAAACATGGCGTCTTGGGTATGATGTTTTTATGACGGTACTATCTTTGTATCACCTAGTGAGAGGATTATTCTGTAGCATAAGTTCCTTGAATCCAGTTTACTCGAAACTTCGGATTACCCAAACTAACGTTCAAACCTAGTTGTCCAACAGCCCCCATGGTACCCTAACTATGGTGAACCACGATTTAGCTTCAAAGCTACTCAGCAGTATTGCAACATATAATAGCAATAATTAAACATACGTTATATATCACAATTTTTAGGAAATTAAATTTGTGAAATATTTTATAAAATATCAGACAGTGAAAATCAATGTTGTCAAAAGTAACAATACTTAACAATGAAAAACCAAGTATTTGGTAATGTTAATACCCAATTTGTGATACTAATACACTCCAAATCAACTAATAAAGATTTGAATAAAATTTAGTAACAAAATGTTATTAAAATCGTTTACAGAGATCTGCAGTTACTCAATCCTCAGTGCTGGCAGGTCAATTCTTCTTTCATAGAAACGACCCAAAGCCGTGGTTCGCCACAGAATAGGGTTAGAATTTTTCCCTTCTTCTGCCAGTGACCGAACAAAGGACCATTTTAATCCCGAGTAAATTGCGTTACGCAGACGGGATTGGACGCTTGGATCTTGCGAGGAACCGTTTCAACGTCTAGCAGAATGAACTGGAAGGACGTGTACCGGGACGGAAGCGACCTCAGACGTCTCATGTGCGGTGGATTTCGTCGCGATGCAAAATCCGAGTGCTCGGCCTTGATGGCATTCGTAAGGAAAAGGAAGCGTGCATTTTCAAGTGGTACTCACTTGCGGCTCTGATCTTCCTCCAGCTGGTGCCAACTCGAGCCTCTCCGACACCGCCTGCAATGCAGAAAACACGGTGAAATTCAGCTCGTGTAAAAGTGTACGCAGCCGACAACAATTTATAGCCTCGCTGTTCCCGAGGAATTTTCACGTGTCTCATTCATACAAATTTTTCTTTCCTTTTTCAGCTCTTTTTTCGGCGTCGACACTGGTTAAGCCTTTGCAACGTCGTGTGACTTGTTGGACGTTGCATGTACATATGTATGTAAATTTTATGGCTGCTTTTAATCGGTTGTTGATGTAATATTGGAAACGTATATTTTGGTATGTATTGGTATATACATATGAGATATCTCAGATGTTTATGACAATTGTTGGTTCTCAGATACGAGATCAGAGGGGAAGGTGGCTACTCTGTTTTGGACAAATAAGGATTGGAGATATGCAAGATTGAAGAGGAAATATACTGTGATGACAATTTTTATTTCAGTAAAATTCTCTCACGTGATTCTTGATCAATGATATTATTATAAATAATAATTTAATATTATTAAATATAATAACTTGGAATATTGTTACAGATAATATATATAAATTATCAGTTTTCCTGTTAACACTACATCCCCCATGGTCAAATAACCGGTGAATGGAAAAGAAGCTGAAGTTTCAAAAAATGGAATAATGGGAGACATTCGGAAAATTATTATACGTATATTGGAAGAAAAATCACGAAGAGTAATTAAGGTGAAATCGTTGAACGCGAAATTTTTAATAAAAGTTTGGAAAACAAAGAGTTAGATTATGGTAGGGTGCTTGTTAAAAGAGACATACATAATACATTTTTATGAATCTTTGTTTTATCTAGAATTAATAATAGGTATAGTCATATCAATTAGGTGTTAAAATAGCTCACTGCATTTTGTTAAAAATTTCGTTATAAATGAAATAAATCAAAGAGGCAGAATTTGAGAAATACAGATGTATATATTATTACAGAGAATAATTAGGATAAAGTAACTCGTGACAAGCTCGATAATTCTGTTGGATTATGTAAATAAATAAACAGAAGCGGCATCGTATTACGAAGAATTAATTAAAGCAGAGTAACACGTGACAACTAGTTTCATATTGCAGTTGAATTAATTACTAAAGCCTACGGTTCAGACGTGTAAATTAAATTATCCAAAATTTTCCTGAATTTAATTAAAGTTGCCAGACAACGATAAGAAGTAGAGGTAAAAATATTAACATAATTTAAAATTAGTCAATCTTAATTTGAGAACTGTATTTCACCTGAGACATATTAACCCTTTGCAGTTGGCCATTTTCGCGTTACAGAAAATTAGCAATCCCGAGATTTTCTGCCATAAAATGGACGATACTTTTGAAATGGTAAATAATAAATCGTATAAAAATTAAGACAAATTAATAGAATTATTTTACTTCGACATTCCACGCATCGTTGGGTAATTTTAAATTCGATATATGGACATTGTGCAGTCGGCCATTTTCTCGTTACAGAAAATTAGCAATTCAGAGATTTTCTGTCATAAAATGGACGATACTTTTAAAATCGTAAATAAGAAATCGTATAAAAATTAAGACAAATTAATAGAATTATTTTACTTCGACATTCCACGCATTGTTAAGTAATTTTAAATTCGATTCGATTAAATTCGATTAAATTCCCTTTGCATTCGAGAGGTGCCCTTCAATCGCCATTTAATAAAATTTCGAAGATCAATATTAATTAATATGTCAAATTTAACCCTTTCGTTACTATGGATGACTATAGTAACGGACACGAGACGCCATCTACACACCACGGGTGACTATAGTCACGGCCACGAGACGCCATCTACGCACAACGGGTGACTATAGTCACGGCCATGAAAATTGAACCAAAAATTAAGACAAGGGCTACCGTTCGCTTGGCTCTCTTCGCAAAGAATTGCAAATGCTATTACAATGATCGATTTTTCTTTCTTTTTTCAAAAAACTTAGCCCTGCATGCTGAAGACTACACGATCATAATGTTTTGATAATATGGCACGGCGCACAATGGGCCAGGAGGCCTTAAAAACTGGCTAAAAATAGCTCACATTTTCATAAATTGAAAGTTTCATGGTGTTCTAGGTACTTTGAAGTACCTATCTTACAATTTTCATGCAATTCAATGAATTATTACTCTTTTAGCAGAGTGAAGAAAAGACAAAAAACGAGTAACATCATCTTCGTATATAAAGTATCTTGTAAACAAAGACATCTGACGTAATTAAGTTTTATTTCTCATATCTATAAGCATCTAGTATGCAAGAAGCATTGCACTTTTGTCGTAAGTGTCACTCTAAACTACGAATTTTAACGTTTAGTGAGAAAATATCTGGTGTTCTTATGATTTGTTTTACTTCCGATTAATCATAACATGCCATAATACTTTGTGTAAAAATAAATCAGGTATCTGGGGATTCTGTAGAATGTACACTTCAACGCTCATATGCCCCATTTCGCACCTATTTTTAATTTAACTAAGTTTAATTAATTAATAAGTTCAGTAATTTTTTGATTTAAATTGTAACGACCAAGTTCTCACCCTCGCCAATAGATGGATTCCTACTTGAAGGAGGTTCGAGGACTTTCCTACAAGTCCTCGGTAAAAGCCGTTCCTGTGACACCTAAGTATCCCTGGTCTAAGGCAGGGCCTGCTAGAAGCAAGCCTTAATGATGAGTCCACTAGCAGGCCCGAGACGAAACGCATCCCTTCCTTTTCCTGTCGTCCTTCTACATGCTACCCTATCGATAGCAACGACGACTACCGGGATACTACCAGGCCAGCACCATAGGAACTGTTGCGGCCCTAGGACTGCAATGTCCCAGGTCAAGTGGAGGACTGTTTTATGTCCTTATTGTCAGCATCCCTTGACTTCTATACACTCGTTGTCACCTAAGTCACCACTTGGGTAATCGTGACAAGGACCGATATATTACCCTTTAAGACGACAGGTATAAGGACCTAGATTGTTTAAACAACCACCACCACCGAAAGACGTTGAAGCTAGCACACACCCCCAATATTATACCAACCAATCAGCAGACAGACGAACCTTATAAAACCACCGACAAGGCATTCACAAAAAGATTCTTCCTAAAAACCCCATCAAGACTCCCCAACAACTCAGCGCAGGAGACTGTCTACTATAGAACTGTCTGTAGTTCAACAATAACCAGGCCTACCTCTATCAAGTCAGGGTAGGCCGCATCCCAGCAACATTGCCGCAGCAACGTAACGGGCCATACAACCCCGCGAAACTCCCCGAGCGAGTTGCAGTGATCAGGACGCAACAGGAACACCGTCCATCATCATCAAACAGGACAAAGAAGATATTCTGCACTTAAACCTCTCTCTTGGAAACGGAATATTGGGAGTGGGGTATCTACCGAAGATACTACCACTCCTACAAAATAACTTTATAATTTAACTAAGTGTTGCACCGCGTGGATGTGGATGAGCTACACGCGGAGGGGGCAGCGTACGGTATACTTGTGATGCCCCCTTTTTCTCAGTGTGCCGAATCCCTTACGAGACACTGAGCACTTAAGTGGTAATAAAGCGCAGATTATGGTTGTAATTACGCTTTATTCTACGATTATGATGTGGGTGTGTGTGATTGGTGTGTGTGTGGTGTATCGTCTTCTCCCTTGCCGTTTTTCGTTTTGTTTTCCATCTTCCGTTTACCGTCTTGCGTCTTCCAGTCCTAGTTCACGTCTGTCGTGTCTTATCTGAGCTCCAAAACCGTCTTACGTCATCTGATGTGTTTTGTTTGATTTCTCACGATCGTCTGATGTCTCGTTTTATAATTTTTTGATCGTCAAGAAGGACGGCGGGGCGCGTCTTCCACGTATTATTGCCGTCGCAACACTAAGTATAGTTTGATCCAACGAAAAGGGAGCTTCTATGACAAGTTTGGTCATAGTGAATATCTTGCGACTTGGACTAATATACTTTCTTATATGTATATTTATTTTTGTTAACGAGAGTACAATACATTCTTATATGTTTACTTATTTTTGGTAACGACAGTACTATGCTGATACTAACGACAATTCTACAAGAAAGACTGTGGCGACGCCCACCATCGCGAAAGAGTTAAGATAGTGTAATGGCGTGCGAGGTATCGAAATCGAATAATTCTACGTGTTAATTAGTATACGATTTCTTATTAACACTAGATTTACGGAACCCGTCAATTTGACGGATGGCTTGCTCCAATTATAGGATGGTAACAGATTTAGTTGACTTATACTACTATAACTAACTATAAATATAACTATAGATAACTATAACTATATATAACTATTAATATTGTAATTGTTTTTAAATTAAACTAATCGTTAAAAAAAAGACACGTGGTTTCTTTTACCTTGTCAATTTGACAGGTGTCAAATATGTAGAAATAGATATACAGATAGCGTCCGTAAATCTAGTGTTAACTGCTGATAAAAATATCTTCAAATTTATAGCAGAAAATCTTTCAACTCCTACTCTTCTTTAGCCAAAATATCGTCGAGTAAGTAACGTCCATCTTTAGAATCTGATTAAATGGCGACTGTGGCTCCCCTCTCGAGTGCAAGAGGTTAAATAAAACAAACGATATGAGCTACAAAATGTGCCAGGTAATCAGATCTCGTGTTTGAAGACTGAATAAAGTATCAGGAATGTAAGAATACTGTATAATTAATCTCGTCTTGTTCAGGTCTATTTAACATGGTGCGACTTTCATTTGCATAAGGTTAGGATTGCATACAGAGTAATTAACAAGTCGTTTCAAAATAGAAATTGGATGTTTAACTGTACATATTACTAATCGCATAATTACCGCTGTAGATAGTAACACAGATATAAAAAATAAAAAATCGTTTTTTTTTATAATTTATATCCATGAACAAAAATAATGATCAGTTGAAGAAAATAAAAGAGAGAAATTTAATATTCTGAAATAGCGAGAAGGATGATTTTTGTTCAATAAGTACAACTATTTATGGAACAAAAATGAAGT